TGAGACAGGGTCTCACCAGGTAACTATGGCTGGCCTGGAACTCACTATGTAGACCAGGCTGGCCTCAGGCTCAGAGATCTAAAGACGGATTTTTTTTTTTTTCTGAGACAGGGTTTCTCTGTGTAGCTTTGCGCCTTTCCTGGAACTCGCTTTGTAGACCAGGCTGGCCTCGAACTCACAGAGATCCGCCTGCCTCTGCCTCCCAGTGCTGGGATTAAAGGTGTGCATCACCACTGCCCAGCAAGACAGGGAATTCTTTAAGGGCCCAAGGGGTCTAGATGTATTCAAGTATAAAGATATGTGTTCACAAATACACAGATACTCATTTTTGCTTTTAATAAGCATTTTATTTTGGAATAATATTAGAACAAAGAACAGTACAGAGCTTGCACACCTGCCCGCCGTCCAGCTTCCTCTAGTGTGACCTTCTTACACCAGCATCAAACTATATCTCTAAGACGATACAGGGGGCCGGGAGCTCTGCATACGGGGCCGCAGAGCTACTTAGCACGACTGAGGCTCTGGACTCAATACCCAGCACTAAATAAACTAACACTCACATATTACTTTTCTGTTATTTTTAAAACTTTTTAGTGATTACTTTATGAGTTTATGTGCATGAGTGTTTTCTCTGCATGTGCGTCTGTGCACACATGCATGCAATATTCATGGAGGCCAGAAGAGGGCATCAGATCCCCTTGAACTGGAGTTACAAATGACTGTGAGCCACCATGTGGGTGCCAGCAATTGAACCCAGGTCCTCTGGGAAAGCAGTAACCATTGAGCCACCTTTCCAGGCCCGCTTTTCTGGTTTTTGAGATAGGGTCTCATGTAATCCCAGTTGACTTTGCACTGATCCTCCTGCCTCCAGCCCCTCAAGTGTTGGAATTACAGGTATGAGCCACCCCACCAAGCTGCCACTTCTGAATCCTTATTATCTAGACATTTAAGAAACTTTCTTATTTATTTAGACAGGGCCTCACTGTGTAGCTTGGGCAGACCTGGAGCTCGCTATACATAGTTCAGGCAGGCCTTGAACTTACAGAGATCCACCTGCTTCTGCCTCCAGAGGCTGTGCTTAAAGGTGTGTGCCACCACAGCCAACAATCCAGGCATTTTTTTGCAGGTGAATTCTCCCTAAAAGGGACCACTTTTCTTGTTGTTCTATTGGCACAAATAAAAGCCAAGCTGGGCTGAAAAAGAAGTTTCTTGAAAATGACTTCACTTGAATTCAAGATAATACACACCAGAAGCCAGAGTGGGGCCCCTTTAATTTACAAGTCCAGGGCCAGTCAAGTGCTGGGGGGAGGGGGAGGGTCAGACATTCTTGACTTCTGCGGGAAAACTGAAAAAATGTGAAGACTGTGCTCGGAGGCTCTCTCATGTGTGGCTGCAGGCAAGCCTCCTGGAGGACTCTGAGTTTTCTTGTCACTACTCAGCATTCCTGACATTTCATCAGCCCCACTTCAGCCCACGCCTGCTTCCCCAGGGCTGGGGAGCTGAGGGAGTGTGTGGCTTAGTGGGCATGGTCCATGGTCCATCTGCCCAGCCTCATTACAAAGGGGCCCTCTCTAAAGGCGGCCTCAGTGCAAAGGTCTATTTAGGGACAAGAACAATTCCTGTGTTGAGGGGCTTGCTGAAGGGTGTGCTGCACACCTCCGCCTTGACATTAGGAGAAAGGGAGGGGGCAGGTGTGATGTGCCTGCAATCCCAGCACTTGGGAGGCTGAGACAGGAGGATTGCTTCAAGTTTGAGGTCAGCCTGGTCTGCATGACAAGTTGCAGGCTAACCAGGGCTACACCGTGAGACCTGTCTCTAGAAACCAGAGAGCCACAGGGATGGATGGTTCAGTGGGTAAAGGTTCTTGCCACACAAGCCTGACCTGCCTGCCGACTGGTCTGGAACTCACGTAGAGGTGGAAGGAGAAAACTCACGTCATACAGCCGCCCTCTGACCCCACACATGGTCATGGAAGACGTTCACCACCCCACATACACAAGAAGAAATAAATAAGAACCGAAAAAACACTGGAGAGAGAAAGAAGAGAGGGGTATTTTTCTTCAAAGGATGTCCAGTCTAAGGTTAGACCCCAAATGGCAGAGGTTACCCCCAGGGGCCTCAAAGCCATCAGCATTCTTGGACTGGCTTTGGCTGAAAAGGAAAACTTGCACCAGGTACGTTCTTTTGTTTTGTTTTTTGAGGGTTTCACACTGTAGCTCAGGATGACCTTCAGCTAGTGATCCTCTTGAATGCTGGGATTGCAGGCTAAGCCACCACGCCTGACTCATCCAGGTTCTCTGAGATGCATTTTAAATATGCCCATGAGAGGAGACAATGAGAGTTCACTCAGCAAGGCAGATCTGAGCCCTGGGCCCATTGTCAGGGACAGCAGCTGGAGGCCTAGGCTCTGTACTCAGTCCCTCACTGCGATCTGTGCCCTTAGCCACCCTTTCTGTTGGACCCTCTGTGTTTCTCTCTGTAAGATGCAGATCACAGCAGACCCTTGCTCTTAGGGAATATGCTTGGGGCACTGAGCATGGAGCTTCACAACTAATATACTATTGCTAAAATTCCTTCCCAGGGATGTAAGCAACATCTATGCCACCTCCTAGGGTCGCAGAGACAAACCCAGGCATGACTGTGTGCCAAGGCTGCTCTGGGGAACCAAAGAATTTATTGGGCACATCGATGAGGGGTTACTTACAGGGGTATGTGATAAATAAGGAAATGGCAAAGCGGGTATCTTTCGGCAGGCCCTGCCAAGGTCTGCCACTAAGCAAACATGCCACTCCAAACAGTTAGTGCAGAGGTTTATTGGGGGAGGTGGGAAGAGAAAGGCCGTGTTGGAGTGGGGACATGAGTGAGGTAGGCAGGCAGACAGACAGACAGACAGAGAACAGGGAAGAAAGGCAAGAGAGAAAAGAAGAGGCAAGAGAAGAAAGAAAGCCGGGTGGTGGTGGTGCACACCTTTAATCCCAGCACTCAGGAGGCAGAGCCAGGCAGATCTCTGTGAGTTCGAGGCCAGCCTGGGCTACAGAGCAAGATCCAGGACAGGCACCAAAACTACACAGAGAAACCCTGTCTCGAAAATCAACAACAAAAGAGAGAGAGAGAGAGAGAGAGAGAGAGAGAGAGAGAGAGAGAGAGAGAAGAAAGAAGAGGCAAAGAGAGAGAGCTGCACCTGGCAGGCACCTTTAAGGGGTACACACGTCGCATTGCTGACAGTGGAAAGGCACCTGGTGACGGGCCACAGAGGGAGGCTGCTGCTGCTGCTGCTGCTGCTGCTGCTGCAGAAACTAAAGTGTGGGTGTGCCTCCCCAACCGACTGCATGTGGAAAGCCTTTACCTAGTAGCTGCACAGATGGCAGTCCCCCCCCCCAGCCTTCCCCAGCCTTCCCCAGCCTTCCCCAGCCTTCCCCAGCCTTCCCCAGCCTTCCCCAGCCTTCCCCAGCCTTCCCCAGCCTTCCCCAGCCTTCCCCAGCCTATACAGTGTAGCCTCTCCCTGAGGCCACATGCACTTAAGGCAGAGTTGCATAGAGCAGGTGGAAGGGAGCAGCTGGATATTCAGGTGAGGGTCTTGTGCCCTCCTGAGCCCTCCTTGTGGAAGGGCAAATAGTCAACAACCCCAGCTGGAATAATCCTTTTGCAAGGGGGTGCAGCTGAATTCCACATAATGGCAGCTGCTAGGCTAGGAGGATAAACATACAACATACATGCCTCATAAATGTTCTAATTACTACCTCTATATGCAAACTTCTCTCAGCCAGAAGGAGCTTATAGCCCAGTCCCTGTGCCTCCCCCTGCCACTCAACACCCCTAAACACTCTTCTCCCGGGGGTGCTAAAGCCTGCCTCCCCCAGCAGCCCTTACCTACCAGTTTGCAAAGTCCTGGCACCTCTCGAAGGTCTGGGCATCTCTCACCTTTTTCTTCTTTCTCGGCCCAATAACGTGCAGCACTTCTAGGGCAGTATACTTGCTGATTGCTTCCTTCACTAGTACTCACAACAACCAGCTAAGACACTGCCAAAGAAGCACTCACAGCTGGCCTGCTGGGCTGGGGATCAGCAGACAGGCACGAAGTGAGGATCCACGGACAGGCACAAAGTGGAGATCCGTGGACAGGCACGAAGTGAGGATCCATGTACAGGCATGAAGTGGAGATCCGTGGACAGGCATGAAGTGAGGATCCACGGACAGGCACAAAGTGAGGATCTGCAGACAGGCACGAAGTGACAGGAAGTTGCAGGAGGATAGGGAGGCTACGGGAGAAAGCTGAGCTGTGCAACAGACCCTACAAGGCATAACAGGCTCCTCCAGCACTGTGAAGTCAGCATGCTGGCACAGAGGGTGGGGTGGGGTGGGTGGGGGACCAGCAGCGTGCACTAGTGCCTCCGGTCCTAGCACCCACAGAGGACACACTGACTAGTCAGAGCTCAGCTGGAGGGCCAGCACCACCAGGAGATGTTCAGGAACTCCTTCCTACTTCCACTAGGAGGCTAAGTCAGGAGGTTCCTTTGAGTTCAGGGGTTCGAGACCAGTCTGGGCAATATAGTGAGACTAAAGAAAACAAAACCAGGAGGCTGGAGAGACGGCCCAGTGGTTAAGAGCACTTGCTGCTCTTGCAGAGGACCCGGGTTCAGTTTGAGCATCCACACGTCAGCTCATAACCATCTGTAACTCCAGTCACAGGGAATCTGATGCCCTCCTCTGGCTTCTGGGGGCATCAGGCACACGTGCGGTGTACATACATCAGGTAACACACTTACGCACATTAAAAATAAGTAAAGTGGGCCAGTAAAATAGGTCAGCAGGTAAAGGCACTTACTACTAAGCATGATGACCTGAGTTCGGAACCCGTATATCAGAAAGGAGAGAACTGACTCCTGCAAGCTGTGCTCTGACCTCCACACACACATGCTACAGCTACAGATGGACCACTCCCCCCCTCCCCCCCTCTCCCCTACCCTCCCTCCCCTGCCCTCCCCCAATGCCCTCCCAAATCAAACAAACAAAGAAATGTAAAACAACAGCAACCTTCCCCCAACCAAACCCAAATAACCAGGGGGCTGATTAGGCCTGAAGAGTTGACACTGAGGTCAACGGGAAGTGATTCCTCTCCAGGGAAACCTCATATACTCCTTAAATGATTAGATGAAGCCCGCCCGCAATCTAAGGTGAGGATACCCTTACTTTAAGGTAGTGAGTGACTCAGGAACCTGGAGTCTTCCACAGCAACACCCAGGCCGATGTTGGGGTGGATCGCCTTGGACTCCAGCCTCCGGTTACACAGAAAACTGACCATAACCTCCAGGCTGCCTTAAGATCTAGTGACTGGGCTAGGGCAGTAGTTCAGCTGGTGGAGCCCTGGCTTGGCTTGAGACCTTGGGTTTCATCCCCAGCACTGCAAACAAAAAACATCCAGATTAGCACATCTCTCAACCCCCATCAGAGAACCTGCTTTTTGTGGTCGATGGAAATTAACAGAGACCCACAACTGGACCGTGTGCAGAGAATAAGGCTGCGGAATGTTCAACTCTAAATGTGACATCTGTATCACAATTGTACTCAAGGCTCAGGGATTGTCTCAGAAGGGGGCGGGGCAAGAGGACTCTAAGAGTTGGCAGTAGTGAATGTCTTCAGTGAAACAGTGTTTGCAGGACATGACAGGGCCATGGCACACATGAACTCGGTGGCTGTGACTACATTCACAAGTCCTGTACAGAGCTAGCCAGCCAAAACCCCAGCGTGGACCGGGGAGGGGCTCATGAAGTCCCACCCCAGCTGAGGAGTTATTGGTCATTGACGGCTGCTGAGGGTGAGGGGTGAGGGGTATCAGGCTCTTCAGGGATATGGTCCCTGAGAGGTTGCCTGTGCTCCAGCAAATGATCCTTCACCCAGGCGTGTATCGGCAGCACTAAATGGCCTCTGCGGGCTTCAGTAAACAGCACGTGGAGATGGGAGGGGAAAGTCTTCCCCAGCCCCACCGTGCTCCTCAGCGTGCGGGTCACCGTTCCCCCGAGTTGTCCCTGGTGCTGACCCTCTAGTTACCACCCAACAAGAGAGGATCGGGCTCGGAACATCCCCCAACAGCACTTCACAATGTAATGCCAGGCACAGAGTGGAGTGCAGTGCATAATTACAAACAAAAAAAAAAAAGGGGGGGGGTCCTCAGCAGGCAAGGGGGTCTGCTGCCAAGCCTGACAACCTGGATTTGATCCCTGGATCCACATGATAAATAAAAAGAGCCCATTCCCAGAAGCTATCCTCTGATCTCTAAACACATGCACCCATACACACATGCATACACACAAAATGAATGAATGAATGAATGAAAATTTTTTAAAAGGAGCCTAGCATGGTGTCTCTTACTTGTCATCCCAGCGATTGAGAGGTGGAGGCAGGAGGACAGCCTCCTGTGAGACACCCCCCTTCCCCCACACAGGCTGTGTGTGGAAATGCATAGGCCACATTAATGTCCCCTGATGAGGCTTGGCTGAGGTGGGGTCACAGAGGTGACCTCCAGAAGAACAGGCACGTTCACGAGAGCGACCAGGTAAGGCTGGGCTGTGGCCTTCTCTTTTCAGTGTCTCGAGGAAGCAATGCTCCTTTCCCTTGCTCTGGGGACCACAGGACAAGAGCTTGAAGCACCCAACTTGGAAGGAGGCCATCACTGAGGATGACCACCGTGGCTCTGACCACACTTCCCACATCCTCTTGGGCTTTGCTGTGACAGAGCTTGAAGGAATTGCTTTGTCCTTACACAGATGTCATGGGAAAGGCTGGCTGGTGAGTGGGAAGGTGGTGGTTGAAGGGACCAAGCAGACGCCATAACAGGCTGTCAGTCTTCTCTCAGAGATCAGGCCTCAATATCAGTTTGCTGAGACTTGAGCAAGCAGTTTCTGGGAGGGCCATGAACAAAAGACATAGTCCTTGCAGTCGCTCCCTTTCTGCACGTACTCTGACTGCTCAAGGTTCAGCCAGTTGTTTATTGTCTGGGACCCCTCACCAACTTAGAGCTAGGTGCATGGGTCAATGCCAACGTGCAGGAGGAGGCCAGCCAACCTCCATGGCAACTCAAGGACAAAGCCTGGGACTGCCCCAAAATGATAACTGTAACCCCCAACCAGTAAATTCAAAGGTTACACACCCTCACCCAATCATAGGATGCAAAGGCTTATCCCACCCTGCTTGCGGGTTTTTCCCTTTAAAAACCCCTCACTCTGAGAGCTCAGGGCCGTCCTCCTCCACCCACTGTGTCAAGTGTTGGACACAGACCAAGCCCGGGCTTACTTGTTATCAATAACCCCTGTGTGTTTTGCATCGGATAGCGGCTCTGTGGTGGTCTTGCTCGGGGGGTAGAGGGGTGGCGGTGGAGGTGGTGGTGATGGGGGGGGCTGTCGGGGCAGAGACCTGGGTCCGCTGCTGTAGCTGACTCCTGCCCATCCTGCTGGAGACAACAGAGGGAAGCTTGGCCCAGGAACGGGGATTGGAGGTGGACCTCAAGAAGACTGACTTGATACTCTTAATTGCTGAGCCACCTCCTTCCTAGAAGACCAACTTGGAAGTTGTGAACCTCAAAAACTTCCGTTAGTGAGGCTGGAGAGATGGCTCAGCTGTTAAGAACATGTATTGTTCTTTCAGAGGACCTGAGTTCGGTTCCCAGCGCCCACATGGTGGCTCATGACCATCCTTAAGTCCTGTTCTAGAGGGATCTGACACCCTTTTCTGGCTTCCACAGGTACCAGGATTGCATGCGGTGCACAGGCATACAGGCAGGAAAGTCACACATATTAAGTTTTAAAAACATCTAAGAAAAAAAAAAAATCAGGGTCAGATGAGGGTGTGAGAGCACATGCCTGTAATGCCAGGACACAGAACAGAGAGGCAGGAAGATCCAGCAAGTTCAAGCCCACCTTGGGCTACATATGGAAACAACAAAGACCTCAGGCTTGCTTTTGGGAACAGCCCTCTGAGGAGGCACCACTGCCTGCTGCCCAGACCGGGGACAGCAGGAGCTGTCTGCGCTTCCCAGGAGAAAAGAGCAAGGTGTTCAACACCTGCCCCTGCACTGGTCCCCAAGGCGGACCCTGGCAACGGCAGATGACATCCTGGCTTCTGGGGTGGCCTCTGCTCTAGGGGAGCTGGGCACTCAATTGCCCACACCCTTAGTATTTAGGATTTCATGTTTTCCTCTACTGGCTCTTTTCCAAACATTTTTGTGCATTGAGTGTTTTGCCTGCATGTGTGTACGTGTGCCATGCCCGTGCAGTTCTGTGGAGGCCAGAAGAAGACCTGGACCCTCTAGAACTGGACTTACAGATGGCTGTGAGCTGCCATACGGGTGCTGGGGACCAAACCCAGGTCCTCTGCAAGAGCAACACGTGCTCTTAACCACTGAGCCATCTCTGCAGCCGCAGCCCTTACTGGGTCTAACAGACCGGGCGTTAAGCAGCCAACACTGGATGGTTAATCAAGGAAAAAGCAGAAGGAAGGAAAGGAGGGAGGAGGAGGAGAGGGGAAGAGAGGAAAGGCCCTTACGGGAAAGAAAGGTTCCTTTACACAGCGGAAGATTAAGAACAGGCCATGCTGCTTGAACATCTTGTGACGAGGGAGCAGACACTATGGAAGTCAGAATGGAGGTTCCTCAAAAACTAAAAACAGAGGTCCCGTGTGACCCAGATACGCACTCAGAGGGTGTAACTCGAAGGACTCTACCCTATCAGAGAGACTTGTACAGCCACGGTCATGCTGCCCTATCCACAGTAGCCAGACAGTGGAACCGGAATAGATGTTCATGCATAGAGAAATAAATGGGTAAAGAAAATGTGGTGTACAGAGTGAGTTCCAGGAAACCCTGTCTTGAAGAACCAAAAAGAAAGAAAGAAAGAAAGAAAGAAAGAAAGAAAGAAAGAAAGAAAGAAAGAAAGAAGAAAGAAAGAAAGAAAGAAAGAAAGAAAGAAAGAAAGAAAGAAAGAAAGAAAGAAAGGGAGAGAAAGAGAGAGGGAGGGAGGGAGGGAGGAAGGAAGGAAGGAAGGAAGGAAGGAAGAGAGAGAAAGGAAGAATAAAATGTGGTACGTATACATGATGGATTTCTTTTTTTTTTAAACAGGGTCTCCCTACATAGCCTTGGCTGTCCTGGAACTCACTCTGTAGACCAGGCTGGCCTCGAACTCACAGAGATCCTCCTGCCTGCTTCCTGAGTGCTGGATTGAAGGAGCTCGCCACCACACCTGGCTTTCCAGGGTGATTTTATGCAACCATCAAGAAAAATGGAATCGTGACACCGGCAGGAAAATGGATGCAACTGGAAATCATTATGTTAAGCAAAATCAGCCAGTCGCAGACAAATACTGCATGTTTCTTCTGTGTAGAACCTATGTTTAAAACACATCTGTCTGTATGTGTGGAGGGTCCACAAAGCTAGGGAGGGGATCTTAAGGGGAGGAGGAGATCTTAACAGAGAAACAGAGGTAGCCATGGAGTACATGACATAAGAAAGCAGAAGGGACTGACTGGGGGGAAGAAGAGAAAGAGAAACCAAGAGGGGGCTGGAGGAGGGGCGGGGAGGGATGAGGAGGGGAGGGGCGGGGAGGGGAGAGAATAAGAACACAGCAGAATGACACACAGGTATGAATATGCAGTGAATAAAATCACCTTGCATGCTAAATTAACAAACAATTTAAAACACCAAACTCAAGGACTCAGTAGTTAAAAGCATTCACTGTTCTTCTAGAGGACACAAGTTCGGTTCCTTCCAGCTCTGATGTCAAGCAGTTCACAACCGCCAGTAACTGAAGCTCCAGTAGATCCAGAAGATTCTCTTCTGGCCTCCTTGGTACCCACATTCACACTAGTACAACACTGTTGCTAAGACCCTCCCTCCATGCTGACAGGCTTGGGGCTGGGCGTGAAATAGAATTCTAGTCGATGAGATGTATGGAAACGTCTTTGGACTTTGGGGAAACGTTTCCACCTATCTACAAAGAGACCTGAAAGACCTGGGGGAGGTGGGGTTGGCAGGAACGAGGGACAGAACTTGAAGATGACTCAAGGAGAATCACAGAGTTTGTCTACTTCTGGCCTTCTTTATGAAATGAATGTGTAGGCCGAGAGTGTCGCTCAGTGGCTGAGCTAGCACGCCTGAGGCCTTAGGCCGGGTGTGGGATGAGAGAAAGGGAGAGGGATTGATTAGTTAGTTTATGCCAAGCACATGGTGGCGACCGCCTACTTGCCATGCAGCTGTTTTGGAGGCAAAGGCGGAAGGATGGACCAGTTTGAACCCAACCTCAAAAAAAAAAAAAAAAAAAAAAAAAAAACCAAAACCAAACAAGACAGACCACTCAGTCAGCAAAGTTTTCATCACAAAGAGCTCAGTTAGCAGAAAAACAAAACAAAACAACA